TTTCCGTTGGCAACCGCAGTCCCCACCGACCTTCATGTCCATTCAACCAGCGTATTCCCATAAGAGCCCAGCGGTGTGATGAATACTCAATGAACCCATATCCTCTGCTCCGGCCTGCTCCGGCCTTCTCTTCCACAAATTTTGCTTGCCGAACAATTCCTTTGCCCTGCGCCTTTCTTCGTCTTTCTGCTTCACGGTCCTCATCTCCACCACGAATCAACTCTTCCTTTGACAACCGTTTCCGTTTGCCAGCCTTGGCGTCTGCGGCAAATCCAACAGCAGCCTCTCTAGCAAGCTGCTTCAAATCTTTTGCCGTGATAGATCTAGGTAAATTGCGAATGGAAAGTCGTGTAAGTGATAAATGGAGCATAGGATTTGACTGAAGGAGAGTTTTGCGTTGCTTCAAAGACGCTTCCCGGAGAAGTCTCTCGCTATTGGAAAGCTGTTGGAATGCGGGTGAAGACGCTAGAATAGTCCCTTCCTGTAAGAGAAATAGTCGACGTTTATCACCCTGTGCTTTATCTCTTTGTGCTAGGCCGGCCTCTTGAAGCTTTGTGGCTTCTGCTTTATTCACAGCCCGCGTAAGCTGGAGAATGCGGCCGTCGATTGTGTACCTTCCGCTAGGGTCGTCTCCTTCGTTTTGTAGGAGAGACTTGCCCTTTGTAGCTAGGAACTGCTGATGGGGGGCATCAGCTAGACACCTATCACAATCTTCTTTATTGAAGAAGCAGACAAAACCGGTTCCCCGAGGGCGTTCCGTAGCATGGTCCATCACGATCCTCGCATAGCGGACAGGACCAAAGCTCGATTTGAAATGCTCATGGAGGGTTTCATCGTCGGTCGAAAAGGGGAGATTGCGGATGAAGACAGTAAGTGATTTCTCTTCTTCCACAGAATAGAATTTCTTCTGTGTACCGTTTCTTTCATCTTCATCGTCGTCAAAGTCCTCAATGTCTGAACCTTCATCAGACGATGCGTCAGATGCATTGTCCATGCTCTCAGCATCATCATCTCCAATAACACCAACCCCGCTGCCCTCATCACTATCTTCAGCCGCATCTTCCCCCTTCTCCTCTTCGTCCCCATCAATATCCATATCCTCGGCCTCCTTCTTTTGCTCCCACTCATTCTTCTCCGCCGCCCAATCCACCGCAACCGTCCTTCCATCAATCTCCATCCCATTAGTCTTCTCAATAGCATTCTCGGCATTCTTGTACCCCTTCATGGTGACAAATGCAAACCCACTCATCGGGCCATTAGGCATATTCCCCTTCCTAGGAATAATAACACCTCGAACCTTCCCATAACTCTGAAAAATCTTGACCAGATCCTCCGGCTTCTTAACGCTCCACGGCAGATTTCTAACAATCAATCTAGGCGCCCGCTTCTTGACGCCCTCTCCATCTACCGTCTTCCCCTTCTTCACCTCTCCTTCGCTGAGAGCAGTCTCACGGTGTCGCTTCTCGGCAATCTCGACCTTCAATCTCCTGCCCCCGAACTCGGCGCCGTTAAATTGCTTGACAGCCTTTTGCGCGTCCTCAGGGTCAAGGAATGTGACGAAACCGAAACCGCGGGACTTTTTGGTAACGGGATCAGCGACGACGGTTGCATGTTTTAACGGTGCAATGAAGGAGAAGTGGGTCGATAGGGATTCTGTGGTCGCTGTGTATGGGAGGGAACGGATGAAAACAGTGCGTCGTTTGAGTGTATCGTCTTCGGCGCCATCCTGAGACTTTGACTTTTTCTTCCTCCTCTCTTTCCGCTCCAATCCCTCCACTTCACTGTCGTCGGAAGGGCGATTGTCTTCGTTGTTGGTTTTTGCATGTTTGGCCATTTTTTAGGTTGTTGCTAAGTGGATTTTTTTTCTCGCCCCCAAAATCGATGTTGCGCTATCGGTGGGTAGGTGTGTTTTTGCCGGGTAACTTGATATGCATAATAATACATAATATTATTATAGTAATGGTGCGCTTGGCAGCCGCCACCTTAGAACCTAGACCACGAAGCTCTGACCAAAAACAACATCAAGGCAGCTCCGGACGACAGTATGCACGATCACCGATGTAAGAAACCCTCCTCTACAGACATCCATTGCCTATTCCCAGGTTTAATCTAACAAGGCATATATAGCCCACTCCCTTCTCCAGCAACTCCCTCTCACCGTTTCCCCATTCATCCACCTTCCCACCGCCGTAACTTTACCATATTCATACCGGACACTCCCGCTATCCCTACCCCCATCATCTACTGCCCCCCCTCCAGGCAGCCCTCAAGGGGGATATGTCGTTTCACCGTCCGGAAGCTTCTCAACCACTCCCGCTGCCATAATGAGCTCTTGTCAGTCGTTGATAACACATATTCAGTCTCAGCAGAAGGCGAAGGAGCAGACGATAAAGGACTGGGAGAAGAGTATCGAGGAGAGAGAACTGATGGAGAAAAGACGGGTTGCTCCCGGTTACCTAGACACCGGGCTACGGATATTGGAACCTACAAGATCTACCCCCGTTCCTGCTCCGATTCCGGCTCCTCCAGCTGCGCCCCCAGTTCAAGATAGTACTAGCGGCGGAGGGGAAGAACTTGACAGGGTTTTCGGTAAATTAGGTGTTTAATGAATCACTATTCTAATAGTATACTCCCCCGCTCTGATGCCTTACCATGATGGTCTCGTTGAAAGAAAGTGAAGTGACCGTCCGTTAAATCGTATGCTTGAGAGCAAACTAGGAAGTAGACCGACAATGTCATTTATGTACATCAAAACCAAAAGAACTATCACCCAATAAAACAGTCTTCCATCGTAGTCACATTGCTTAGTTTTGAGTAGGTTCGGGGAGGCGCACATGGTAGTCTATACCATATCCCGTAATTAGTTAAAGATCACGCAATAACTGAAACATAAGCTATTCATACCTGAAGCACATGATATGTATCTGACCCATGGCAAACTAGGATATTGCAGCTTGGGCTCAATGATCTTAAGATATCGGACCTGAATACCCGACGTAGTGAAGTAAGGGATTTCAAACTTCACGCTGATTGGCCTCTTCTTCCGCTCAGGTTCGGCCTCCTTGACACTAGGTAAACCTAGCTCAGCCCTCATCAAAAACTCCTTTCCGCCTCCAAACTGTTTGATCTTCCAGACAATCGCAGACTTCTCGGGCGCATAGTGTACGGTTCCGATGTTTGTCCTGAATCGAGGTGAGTCCGCGTCGTCGGGAACCGGAACGATAATTTCTACGTTGTTCGCAGTAGAGCGTCGCTTGAATTGTGCTTTGGCCTTTGGAACATAAGGTGTTAATCCAACCATAACGAGCCAAGAGCCCATCACATACCTTGAGCATATACTCGATTCTTGACCCAGAATGGCTCTCAACCATACACTCTACCCAAATCAAGGGCTTCACTTGAGTATTCAACCGATAGCTCATCAGCTCAAATTCGCCATCCGGTGGAATAAAACTGATTGTTCTATCGTTTTCAAACCGCGACAACCGTACACATTGATGGAACTTGACGTCCTCCATTTCAATAGCTTTCCCTCTTGTAGTTCTACCAGTACTCTCAAACATGACCTTGTCGTTGAGACCTAACCTCAGCTCTGGCATGCCGGAGAGATAACACTTCATCTTGATAGCGCCAAGGATCTCGGATCGCAAGACGTTTCCATTGCTGTTAACGAGAAGATTAAGCGATTCAATTACGTCCAGAAAGACCTCGTTTTTGCGGTAGCGGATACCCTCTGATCTCCAACTGACGGCATTTGTGACGGCTATAGGCGGGCGGGCTTGGATCTCGAGCTTGTGGGATTCTTGGGTGATGTACCTTATAACAGTCAGCAAAAGAAATATCCCCATAATCTAGTCGCCGGTGGAGGGCAAACTCTTGAAGAATTTTAGTCTCTGTAGTTTGTGGGTACCCAAAGTCCATCATCTCGTCGAGAAGCTCGTAGATAATAACAAAGTTGTCCCGAATACTCTCTTCCTCAAGCTCCTTGAAGTATTCCGTGAATACTTCCACTATTCGGTGAAGGAATAGCAAGGTCTCAGTGGCATTAGAGTTTCGTTTTGTAAGAGCAAGCACGTAGAGGTTATTATGTCGTATATAGAGATACTAGTTTGTCTTTTCATTCAGCTGTGTTATGGCAGAGAAGGCTAGTAGGCAAGAGGCAAACCAACATTAATACCTTCATGCGAGAAGCATGGTGGAACGGCGGAACTCTCCTCCTCGGCTTCGAGTAAAAGGATAGGAAACTTTTCGACCGCTGACATGGGGATGTCCCCTCGATAGTTGCGGGCTAGTAATGTCTTTAACAAGAGTGTCAGCTTCCACGAATACTTTCCTCTGAAATCTAGCAGTCGAGCGTACCTTGCCCTTGAGATCCAGGAAAAAAACTGCCGAAGCCATTGCAAGGATATAATCGGCGTCGGGCCGAGTCGATGGTCTTTGGAAGTAGTTGTTCTCGTGGAGAGGGATAGGTTGCAACTTCCCCCCACAGCAACTGCAGAGCATATGTCTATGCCAAGGAAATTCCATGGTTAAAATAAAATCAAAGCGGGGACCAGGGGCAGATAGAAATCTAATGCAATACGGTACCGGTACGGTATCTTTCCCCTAAGCAAAAGTAAAAATCCCCTTGAAATATTCACAGCGCACTTTTATGCGGCTAGGAAAAGCACCACAAGTACAGTACTCGAGTACGGCAACATTTTATTAAGGTGAAACGCCCGAATTCATAACTTATTTTCCGTTAGAATAAGATAATTCTATTAAGTGAATATAGCTGAGTCATCGTATCTTATTTCTATTCCCCTAGTGCCCAACGATATAGTACCAGTAATAGAATCACATGGTGAATGATTTCGCTCAACTCAAAAACACGGTTACCCGGCCTATTTCAACAGAGCGTGACGCTCTTCCAGGTGATGGCGTAGGGCAAACCCCTCTTAGTCCTCCACATCCCACAAAGCAACCCACATTATCGGAAGAAAGTTTACAACCCCCCACCACCGACGAACGACAACGCTCACGACTAGCGAAGCCAGCAATCAACAGCCGGTATAATATCTCCGAAACTTCAATAACCATGGCGTAGGTCCTCCCGCCGATAATTCTTCTACCAGTGAAAAATCTGCTACAATCCAGGAAGATTCTCGAATTCTTGAACGGAAGCTGATACCTTGAATATAGATCTGCTCAATCTCAAACAATCTCCAAGCGCCGCAAGTTCGTTGCCGACGGTGTTTTCTATGCAGAGTTGAACGAGTTTTTCACTCGCGAATTGGCTGAGGAGGGTTATTCCGGCGTTGAAGTTCGTGTCACTCCTACTGTCACTGACATCAGTACGTCTACCTTCAATACAATTTCAGGGAGTGCTAGGAAAGGCAAGTTGATGGATATTTTACCAACATTAACTTTCTTTTAGTCATTCGTGCTACCCACACTCAGGAAGTCCTCGGAGAACAAGGTCGCCGTATCCGTGAACTCACATCGCTCATCCAAAAGCGTTTCAAGTTCCCCGAGAACTCTGTCTCCCTATATGCCGCCAAGGTCCAGAACCGTGGTCTTTGTGCTGTTGCCCAGTGTGAATCCCTCCGGTACAAGCTTCTCAACGGTCTTGCTGTTCGTAGAGCTTGCTATGGTGTTTTGAGATTTATCATGGAATCTGGTGCCAAGGGTTGCGAGGTTGTTGTGTCGGGAAAGCTTAGAGCTGCTAGAGCTAAGAGCATGAAGTTCACCGTGAGTACACCTTCGCGTGCTACCAGAAAAAATCTGGGCGGATTGTTGTGCAAACTGGGACCTGACAAAAATTACCCGACAGGACGGATTCATGATTCACTCTGGTCAGCCTGCCCGTGACTTTATTGACTCCGCCACTCGCCACGTTCTTCTCCGGCAGGGTGTACTTGGTATCAAGGTCAAGATCATGCGTGGAAGTGACCCCGATGGAAAGAGCGGACCCCAGAAATCTCTTCCTGACACTGTTACCGTTATCGAGCCCAAAGAAGAGGCGCCAATTGGACAACCCTCATCGCAAGACTACGTAAGCTTCCCTAGGCATTTGCACCAATTTACATAACCAAAATCTAACCACTTTATGCGCCTCTATAGGGTGCTAAGGCTGACGCTGCGCGCGCGGCCGCCACCCAAGCTCAAGCACAGGAGAATGTTGCCGCTGAGCAAGTTGGTGTCGAGGCGGGCAATGAGGATGCCGCTGCTGAATATGCTCCTCCTGCCCCTGCCGAAGATCTGGGTGGGTGGTAAAGCAGAAATCAACAAAATAATCTCAGTTAAATAAACTTCTCGTTTCCCTAGTCACCTGAACCTGATCGAAACACAGTCTCTCTTCAAAAGCTTTCTTTTAAACCGGTTTTTCTGGGATGGGTATGTTCTCTTTTTTTGCCTGTGATATATAAAATAGCAAAAAAAAGGGGGGGGTGGCCACAAACTTTGAGACTCAAATCGCAAATAGTGAAATCAATCCCACCCATATTCACAGACCATCCCAAATCATAAACCATCACTCGAAGATTGCCGAGAACCGAAGGCTTGGCTTAACCGTTAATTTAAGTCGGAGCCTCAACGTGTCCTCCCCGGGAGAGCAAGCACAAGAAGCTACTATGAGGGAGACCGCCGAATATTTCATCTATGAACCAGACTCATTCCTTCGTTCTTTTGACTACTCCGACTCCCTGTATAGCGCCATAAGAAAATGACGCAAAAAATTACCACTGGGTGGTTTATCTCCCTCTTCACTATTGTCGGTGCATGTCTTGGATTGATTTGGACAGTATTCATTGGTGATGGCGAACCCCTGATCGCATCTCTGGGCTTCAGCGGCATCGCATTTTCAGCTTCGTACTGTCTGATTGTTTGGCTTGGAGATTCTTTTAAGAGGGTTGGGTTAAAGGGGAAAGATATCTCAAAAGCGGACAGGAGAGAGCTGTATGACCTTCCATGCCATGGGCTAGGAGGTAGACTTTGCTAATGTCCCTGGGAATAGGCCGGAGACTATGGGTGCTGTTTGCGCGGTCGTCTACCTCATGTGCATGATCGTATTCTTGCCATTCGCTTTTTACGAATATTTTGTCATCTTGACGAGCGGCGGTGGAAATAGGGATGCTACGATCGAGGGAGTGGAGACTGGGAGATTATTGCACAGGTTTCCTCACAATAAGGTTATTTTACTTTGCCGAAGCGCCAGGGAAGGTTTCTGACATGCTTGGACTGGCAGTTGGGCGAATATCTTTCCGCAATTCTTTCCCTCCAGAGCATGGTGATATTAGGAGTCGCCGACGACCTTTTTGACATCCGCTGGCGCCACAAACTCTTTCTCCCGGTCATCGCCGCAATCCCGATGTTAATGGTTTACTACGTAGATTTTGGCGTCACCAATATTGTTGTTCCTACTAGTCTCCAAGAGTACATAGGGACAGCTCTCCTGGATCTTTCCTGGGGATACTATCTTTACATGGCGGCTATAGCTATCTTCTGCCCGAACTCGATCAACATTTTGGCCGGTATTAACGGTATTGAAGTTTCCCAATCTATCATAATTGGGTCTTTCATCGCTATCAACGATTTGCTATATATCTCTGTCGAAGGTCATCCAGCTACAGATTCACATCTGTTCTCGCTCTACTTCCTCCTGCCATTCCTAGGCGTTTCTCTGGCTCTGTGGTGGCACAATTGGTATCCTTCTAAAGTATTCGTGGGTGATACCTATTGTTACTTCGCCGGAATGACATTCGCGGTGGTTGGCATCCTAGGCCACTTCTCCAAAACGCTCCTACTCCTATTCGTCCCACAAATATTCAATTTCATATATTCGGCGCCCCAATTATTCCGGCTGGTGCCCTGCCCCCGCCACCGCCTACCGAAGTTCAATGCGAGGTCGGGCTTGATGGAGCCCTCTCGAGCTCCGTTTGAAAAACCACCCAAGTGGTACATCGCTCTCATTCTTGGTATACTAGAGAAGTTACGGCTGATCCGGGTATGGAGGAACAAGGAAGGTGTGATCATGGAGTGCTCAAATCTCACCTTAATCAACCTCTGGATCGTAACATTTGGTCCTATGAGAGAAGATAAAGCTACGATGGGACTCATGGGATTGCAAATTGCCTGCTCGATAATTGGCCTATTAATCAGACATAAAGCTGCGCTGTTAGTATTTCCTCATGATAATTTAAGTATATAATCAGTTACCGGTATAATGGGTGGGTGGTTTTTCTATTGTATTTTTATTATTTGTATCTCCTTTCTAGAGTTAGTGTTTCTGGGTTTTAGACGGAAATATATCATAATTGGGCCTTTCAAACAAGCCAAAAAAAAAAAAAAAAGGTTTGTATGGTCACGCTTTCCCCATACCAAACACTTATTCTCTATCTATCCCCTTTCCCGTACGCCGGACAAGAGAAGTCAGTTGCTATCATCGCCCGCGGAAACTCACTTAGACCATAACCACACGCAAAAAAAAAAAAAGGCCATATTAGAGACCATAATATCCATTCCACGCCAAGAACCCCTTCCCCTCTTGTCCCAACCACCCCACCTAGCTCCCTTGAAGAAAGCCCCAGCTTTCCACACACTCACTCTAGTTCTTCTTCTTTCCTTGGCTAGCCTTCGCCCTCGCCTTAGCCGCCTTCTTCCTGCCACTCCGGATCATAACCACACTCAAGAAACTTCCCACAACTGCAATCCCGACCAGAATCAAAATGACCGGAATGCGGATCGCCCACACGCGTGGCGGGAACAGGTCGTGGAGTTGGTGGCCCTCGTCCACAAAGGGCTGTTCCAGAGCATTAGCGGAGAAGGGAGTAGATTAGGGGTGGGGAAGGAGTACCATAAATAGGGTCCAAATACTATAGTACAGGAACACGATGGATGCGACCATTAGCATCATGACGCCTATGAGCTTTGCAAGCTGGATTTTCACCTCACGTTAGCACTGGAATTTCGGGGGGGAGGGCTAGGGCACACCATGGCTAAAATCAAAAAAAAAAAGAGGGGGTGGACGGGTTCGGAGTTCGAAGTTTCTGTGGAGGGGGGTTTTTTGTGAAAGAAAGGAGCGTGATGAAGTTTCTGGTAAGTGATGGCTGGGGGTTGGAACAAGCGCTTCTGTCATTCAGGGGCAGCGGCTCTGGGTGCTAGAATACTTAGCCTTTCTTTTCTTGGCGGTCATATGGTCTCACTCGGTTTTTTGTTGAGTTATAGATGTGAATCGTATGATATAATAATATTATTATGATGATAATATTATTATAAGCCTTGATATCTTCCATCAATAAGCAATTAAAGTTAGCCCACAACTATATATGTGCAACCATGAGTGAAAGCCGAACAGGAAAAGTATAGGACAAAGGATGCGTCTAGATAACAAAGGAACAAAGGGTTTCTAGAAGCAATATCAGCAGTAGATGGTGCGTAGGAGGGTCTGGAGTTTTAGGTGACGGGTACTACTCGAGTATAGGTTGTCGGGAGTGCTTATTGACCCACCAAACTTCGGGCGGATTTTGCGTCCTCTGCAGGAATTTCATCCGCATCCCTTCCCGAGAGCAAGTTAACCCTAACCCATTACTCACAAACGCGAACTTCGAGTCAATTTACGGGACGACGCGTCGTCCATGAATTAGAATCATCACTCAGTTCCCCTCTCTCCCCACTACAAACCTACGATATTCCACGCACAAGAGATCCAACATGTACCGACAAGAACCAGCGAAACGCGTGCGAGCGATCGATTCGAAAAAACATTGGGCGGGAGTAGACTTTAAGCAATTATTCTACCCGCACCGTCTGAACTTCTACAATACCCCTCCCACGACAGAAATTACTCTGGATGAGTTCGAGCAATGGGCTATCGACAGGCTAAGAAGTCAGTTACTTTCATATTCAGAACTTTCCCCGATTATTTAGAAAACTAGCTCGCATGGTGGAAGACTGGCTTATATGGGATAATGCGCAGTCCTTGGAGAAATCGAATCTTGCCTCTACCGGAACATGACCGCAGCAGAGCTCCAGGATGTTATTATAAAAAAACTTCAGAAGGACCTTCTCCCACTTGGGGCGAACTCCGCAGCGGGGGGGGGTTCCAAGTTCCAGGATAGCAAAATCGCCAAGCAACAGGACGAGCGACGGAAGGACCACTACTCACATTACACCCTCCGATTGGCATTCGCGCGGTCCGAAGACCTACGAAAGAGGTTCCTGGCGACCGAGACGATCCTTTTCAAGCTGCGGTACAATAGCGATGATACCCAAGAGCGACAAGCGTTTATCGAGAGCTTGGGATTTGATTGGGAATTTTTGTCGGTTGAGGAGAAGGTGGCCATGCGGGAGGACTTGCTTGCGGGCACGGGGACGAAGAGCAATGAAGCCGATGCAGTTTTTGAGGCTGGGTTTTTTAGGGTTGATTGGGAGAAGGTGTACGATCTTGTTGATCAGAGGAAAGTGCTTCTGCGTGGGGGGAAGGCATATGTACCAGAGTCACAGCAGTCTTCATTAGTGATTGCGGAGTTTACGGCGAGGCTGGAGAAGGCGCTTGAGGCATGTTTGCTTCCTCCCCAAGTTTTTTCCTCGCGTAGGAGAAATAGATCACTAACGATATCAACGCAGCTCACCGCCCGAGCCCTCCCAAGACTCGACGAAGACGACCGTTTAATCCCCATACTAAACCACCTCTCCCGCGGCTTCATAGCACCAGAGTACAACACCAGCATGACCGCCACAACTCTCAATGGTGCCAGCTTAACTGCGGCCGTAATCGACGATCTGGTCCAGTACTTTCCCATGTGCATGCGACAACTGCATACCACCCTCCGCCGGGAAAAGCACCTCCTACACAACGGCCGTCTCCAATATAACCTCTTCTTAAAAGGCATAGGCCTAAGCGTCGACGAAGCCCTCATCTTCTGGCGCAAATCCTTCTCCCGCATCGACGATGACGAGTTCCAGAAAAAATACCGCTACAACGTCCGCCACGGCTACGGCCTTGAGGGAACACGAAGGAACTACAAACCCATGTCCTGTCAGCAGATCTTGACAGATAGACGCCCAGCTGCGAACCAAGTCCACGGGTGCCCCTATCGCGAGGTCGCGATCGACAACCTGGTCGTAGGATTGGGCACTATGGGCGTTAGCGACAGGGACGTTATCAGACACGTCCGCGAAGATATCGAAGCAAAGAAGTACCATGTTGCCTGCAGTCGCGTGTTTGAACATACACACGCCAAGGAGCTCAAGCGGGAGAAGGAGGCCGGTGGCTGGTCTGGGGGGCTCACAGAGAACATTATTCATCCGAATGAGTACTTTACCCGCAGCTTTGGGCTCAAGAATCCTGGGAGCGTAGAGGCCACCAATGCTATCGCCCCTCCTGCTAGTGGCGGGAGCGGGCAAAGTATGGAGATGGACTGATTGATTTGATTGATTGATTGATTGATTGATTGATTAACGTAGTTATATATTATAATAATATATATATATATCCTTCCACTGTTACCGTACCATTGTGTTGTGACACTTGTATTCTCGCTGTTCCCTCCCACAATCTAGTTACATAGCAGTGCGATACAGTCAGTATGTGTAGTTCCTCCATCCCAACCACACCGCATGAAATAACCCCCACCTCCCCCTGAAATGTAAAAAAAAAAAGCACTTTCCCTCTCTCCTTCCTCCCTTTCCCACTTGTACAAATCCCCACAAACAACTCTTCACCCCGAAACAACCTTCCCCTAATAATAGTAACCAATAACCAGCCCTTTCCCGAGTGATCTCTCATGAGGATCGGACGTTGATCTCCAGGGTTCCGAATTTATTTTCTGTTGGTTGGTGGTCCGCGATGCCGTCTGCGGCACGATATCATATGTATAACTTGTACACGGTACCATGCTGTACCCATACGGTACTGTACTAGGGGGTTGATAATAATCGGGATCACTTCCAAAAAAAGATGCGGCATTTATATGAAGACCAGGCCAGATTAGGAAGTTTGAGTGATAGCTGGTGAGTATTTTTTGGTGTCAGCAAAAAGTGAGTGGCACTTCCAAAAGGAGGTACTCTACAAGTGATATCTTGTGAATATGTTTACGAATGAAAAACAAAGACTTTATAAAAATTTAATCTACAGAAATCAATATCGAGTAGGGCCATTCTTAGCATCTATCATGGCCTGCAAACGTTGTGGCATGCTTCTAATGAGACCCTCCAGCCTGTTGTTTGGAATGGCATTCAAAACAGCATTTAGCGCCGTTTCTAAGGTTTAAAGATCCCCTATCTGGTCTCATGTTTCCCTCAATTCATTTTCCATATTAAGCAAAGTGCTTTGATCAGGTTAAGATCTGGTGACTGTGCTGGCCATCTTGTAGTCTCCATTACATTTAAATCCTGATACCGAGTTGCAAAACCCTTATGGCCTGGGGCCCCATCCTCCACAACTGTTGCCCATCCATAATATTCACAACAATGATGCCAGAAAGGCACGAGATGTAGATACATGACGTTTCTGACATAAAGGACTGAGTCAACCTTGGCTTTGGGAGGGATAAAAACTAGTTTTGACCTCATGGTACAGCAAAAGGCACCCCATACCATCTGTGATTCCTGTCCAGACTCAAAGGTTTTATCAATACAATTGGGATAAAACTCTTCTTTAGATTTTCGCATTACACAGGAGCGGTTCTCAAAGCTGACAGTTGAAAAAGTTAATTCATCCATCCATAGAACTTGGAGCCAGTCCTCATAGGTCCAGTTCAATTGTTTGCGACACCTGTTAGGAATACCAGAACCCGATACCTAGAAACCATCCTAGGTAGGGTAACCCCACTCGGAATTGGAATCTCTGGTCTCCAACACCCCCCTCCAGCTCCCTTACAGGGCCTGCGCGTCATCATATATATCAATCTTAGTTGTGTCCTGTGACTATATTACCACAGAATTGAAGGTGTTAGAATAACACCATATACGTCGTCGCCGTCCGTCCAACCAGATCCTGTTCGCAGGATATATGAGAGGGGACCTTCTGCAAGGTCCGGGAAGTGGAATGGAGTGATTCGGTCAGCTACTCAGAGAGGTACCTGGCTTCAAAAACATGATACCTTTGGCACAGGCCGTAGGTAACAGGACGATTTCGCACAAAGAGATGGTATCAAATGGTAAAGGATCTTTACTAGAGACCAATACATTTACATCCACCAGAAGAGTCTAGAACTCCAAAGGACACTACCAAAGAAGCCAACAAACTTCACGGAGTGTTGTGACTGGGTTTCGGAACACGTTATAATTATGGGGTGATTCTCAATACTACAATAGTTACTGAAACCTACTACCCCAAGAGCAACCAAGGGTTGCCGACCAAGGGATTAATTACCAATCTGGTGGAATAGCTTCCTGCAAGTTAATAGGAAGTCCAGAGAAAATCTATTGGTTGAGTATGGAGTTACAAAGGATCAGAGTCAGATGACCTACGATGGTTGTAATGACAACCACCTTTGCAGATATAGCCATGGATAAAACTGATCATTTTTATCAATGGCAAAGACAATTGGAGCCAACTCAGTTCGACTTAAGAACTAGGCCATAAGTCTAAAGACTCTGCTAATTGGGATATTACTATTCGGGATAGCAAGCTTCCTAAGAAGAAATATTGTAATTACCAAAGAGGGTGTGATGGTTTTCAGGGTCCACAAGTGTTCGCACCTTGGAAGAAAACTCAACGTCGCGAATTACGATTGAAGAAGTACATAGTTGTATGATAAATAGATGTAGTCCGCAAACACTCAGACGCGGAATATAAATATCGAAGTGCCTCCCAAGCTTTAGACATCATTAAGCAATGGAGAAGAGACCTTAACAATATAATATTGTTTTTACCATTCTACCCTACTTTACCTATTTTACTTTGCTCCTAGTAGTCATAAACAAAACGAGCAAAGTCCGAGCCTTCCTAGACAATCTCCGTCTACAGAAACGAATCTCAATTGGCCTAGACAACTTTGAAGTCTATCAAGTTGTCTCCGCCTAACAACATCACACAATATATATTGGTCAATTTACTGGCTGAATAGTAAACTTTCTTCTCAGTACTTGACAGTGATAACCCATTGACTCCATCACATACTTTACTATATGTACACAACAAGCATATCCTAATTCTATGCATATTTCATCCTAGCTGAGACGTTATGTTCGGCCATTGCAGGTTACAAAGGTTTTCAAGCATTGTTTTTCCTTATCATTAAAGATTGGAGAGCGACCAGAACGATGGGCATTCAATGGGGTACCATTTTCTTTAGCCTGCCTATAAATCTATAAGAATACTGTTAGATCTGATATCCTTCTTGCAATGAAACTCGACTACTTACCTTTTCACAAACTCACTGACTAATGTTAAAGTATTGTCACGAACGTGGCTTAGCGAGGAAAGGGTTTTCACGTGACACATGGTTATGAGTCACAGGTATGTTATTGTTTTGCGCATATGACCTATTCGGGTTATATGATTTGTTATGTGTGGGATTTGTGATGCTTTCGCACATGGCTCAAGTATGAGTCATGGGACATGCGCCTGACGAGTATGCCTTACGAGTGTGACTTACGGGTAAGCCTTGCGCATATGATTTATATTTCGCACATGACCTCATTATGATGTCATGGGTTTCGTGCATATGACTCAGTTGAGTCATATGACTTGTTTATTGCGTTATGATTGGTTTATGAGTTTTGCACATGACCTCGCTATGAGGTCATGGGTTTTGAGCATGTGACCACTTCGGTCATATGACTAGTTTGTTATGATTTAGTTTCGCACATGTGACCACTTTAGGTCACATGACTAAAGGCGGGAAGAACACTATATAAGGAGGCTGATGAGGTCGAGGAAGATAGGTTCTTCACGCTTTGTTCTAAGTACTTTTCCTACTTATTACTTTAATGAATATAAAACACCTTTACGATCTTTATCCTTATTGCAACGTTATTGTTACGCTAAGGAAGGCACTTTATGAAGAAGAGTTAGAGAAAGCTTACGATACGCGTTCCCAGTAGAAGACAAGGGTCTTGTACTATCGGTAACGTAGGCAGAGGCCTAACTATCGTAAGATAAAAGAAGAAGACAGGAAGAGAAGTATCGTTCCCCGTCGCCAAGCACTAACTATCCAGAGAGGGATCGTTACAGGTATCTACTAATTCTTGTCCAATTCCACCCTACACCATCTTGAAGAGTACTAACCTGAACGTGTTCATCACGTGTAGTTTTACAATGTCGAACACCGACTGGGTTTTGTTCACAAATTCCTTTTTGTTGCATCATGTTTGGTGCTTGTTTTTGTTATGGCTGTTGTGAGGAACGTGATATCTTGAAATCTGATTACCTGGTCGATAGAAAGGGGTATTACTAACAGGAAATGGCACAGGAGTTTTGTGCTACCGGTCCTGAAATACCCTTATACCCGAGTACACGGTACCATGCTGTACCCGTACTGTACAGTACGGTACTAGTACACGCGTGTCGCGTTTGTTGGACCATTTTCTGGTCGGCCGGCGGGAACGGGATGGGACGGGAAGGTTCGTCCCGGGCCAGGGGCACGGTGCTCATACAGTTACGAGTATGATAACTTGTACGTACTCGTGCTAGTGTGGGGGGGGGGTGTACTCGTACTCGTCGGGACAAATAGGGAAGGGGCAAGGCAAGCAAAAGAGTTCTCCATTCATAAGTTGAGAAATTTAGGGTGTACCATACCGGTATGGTATGATGGGAGGGGGGGGGGATACAAGTTAGCGCCAGCCGTGGAACACGGTTAGCCAAGCCAATGGATGCGGTAGGCGCAGATTTTAGACCCTACCTGTTTTTGTCCTTGTGCTTCGCCCCTGACGAGAGAGGGATTACCTACCGGTACTGGTACTGTACAGTAGGTTATTCGAGTTTATCTTCTTGTATATTATGCGTACCGTACGTGTGGATTTTGTTTCCGGGAGACGGCACTCCTGGCTTGGACTGAGTATCCGCTTGATCGTCAGTTCCGCTGGTCGTGCCGGATAGTGGACGATTGTGGGCAGCAGCATATACAGTACAGTACGAGTACCTTTTCAGCACTTCTGACGTGAGGTGCCGATTGGGACCTCGTGATTGATGGTCCATGTACAGTACGGGTACGAGTACTCGTAAGGATCGTATTTGGGCTTTTTGGGTGATACAGGATCTCGACCGGGTTTAATAGGTGGGCTTTTATGCATTAATAACACAAGAACTGCACTTCAGGCACCAATTGGTTCCTGCAGGAAGCTCAGGCACCACTAGATGGATTCTTACTATTGTTCACTGAAACGGTATCAACTTGGTTGAGAAATTACAGTATGATTAAAATATCTAGCGTATGCAATTACATGACAGATCATGGACCTTTTTGCTCTCTCCCCCCCCCCGTATGTATACGGCGCAAAACGGAAAGACAGGCGAGAAAATGAAAACAGTGAGCCTTAACAATCCTTCAAACGCTAAGGAAATCTTACCGGTTGCAATGTCCCCAGTCAACCTGGCACCAATTCCTAATTTGTCGTAAGTAAGATCCATCTAGAAGTTAAAAATAGGGAGAACTCACGCAGCGCCGCAGAAATCAGGACCGGATCCACAGAAGTTGGCTAATTGGTTATCAGTATCAGAATGCATGGAGCAAAGGCGTTAAGGGTACTCACATCCAGAGCAACACAAGCCACCCCCACACCTCTTGTTCACGATGGGACCGCAATTCTGCTCAGCGCCAGCGGTACCCTGCGGTGGTGGAGGAGGGGGTGGAACCGGGCGCTGGTCACAAACGCCGAAACCAGGCTGACAACCGGCACCACAGTAGTCGGATTGAGCTTGTTCCTACGACAAATTTACTATCAGCTCCGCACACACACCACATGTGGGATGGCTCTATCTTACCCCATTCTTAGGCCCGCAGTGACCATTAACAGACTGTTCCAGCCAAGCTTGTTAGCGAGTGAAGCGTTATGAGGGTAAGAAATCATGAACATACACAACAACGGTAGTAAAATCCTCCGGGGCCGGCACCAGGGCACGAAATACCGCCTGAATCTGCACCACAGATATCGATTGATGGGACTGAAGAGGGGAAGGATCCGCCGCCTGTTGGAGTGCCACCGCCAGTGGAACCCTAATTTTTCAAAACCTAGTTAGGGAGAGAGTTCCCGGACATTGGAAGCATGAATATTCCTTACAGCACACGAGGAACCGGCACCACTGTATGCCTTTAGACAAGTAGCAGGGTCACAATGGGCGGCACTTGTATCACACCTAAACCTCCGTTTAGCAATCATAGAAGAAAAAAGAGAGGGGCAAACAACGAGAGGGATGAGGGTAGAAAGATCGATTGTCAAGCACAGCACAAGGAAACAAACCATCCGTATTGACTGCAACAAGTACCGGCAGCACAAATCTGATTTCCATAGGAAGGACCGCAATTTTGAGCGAAGACGGAGGTCACCAAACCCAAGACAACGAAGAGCGAAAGACGAGTCATGACGAAGCGAAGGTGGGGTTTGTAGAAGAAAACCGGGAAAATGGGCTTTTAGCAGACCTATGATTAGGGGGAAATGAACGATTGAAAGGGCTAGGGAAATGTGAAAGGGAAGGGAAGGGTGAGGGAGAAGGGGTGGGGAGGAGTCAAAATGGTGGGAGGAAGAGGAGTCTAAATAGCAATACATACTCGGCGTGATAGCCACCAACACCGCATTTTAAAGGCTATCATTGGGATACAAGCATGGCTTGACCTTGGCGGGCTGTGATGTGTAATACTGTAAAAGGTACTTGTACTCGAATACCTGTAGCATTAGCATACAGTAAGAAGTATTGGGCATGGAGAAAAAAAACAAAATATTGGACGATTGAGGGAATTGGGATGGAGGGAATCCTGGTGCAAGGCACGACCATGTGACACAGCATTGTGAAGGCTAGCTTCTTGGTCTACAAGTAGAAAGACACATGCTTCGGCTATCTGGGCTGAAAAGCTACTTCTTGGTTTGGTTGGTCCTTGCATTCCACTTGTATCATATCATACGGTACACAGTGTTCTCTCTACCCAGACAACTTACAGACAGTGATCTATTGCCCAACTCTCCCCCCACCCGCGCTCAGCCAGCGGAGTGCGCGGCGCTCTTGCGGTACGGCACCAACATGGTACCAGTATTTGTCCTCGTACCGTAGATTGAAAACCACTTGTCAAATGGTATGATACTTGTAAAGGGTTCAGTCGTAAAAATGCCAAGAATTGGTGTTTTACGCCCAAATTTGAGGTACCTGTAATTGGCACCTGTCTCTCTGGACACTTTACTAACTTAACTGGCGAGTAGCGAATTTATCGGTACTCTACAATAGCCTGTCTCTGGTCATCAGGAGAGCCTCTTAAATCTCGGGCAAACGGTACCGGTACTACAGTAGTATCAAGGGGATACCATGTCTCGCCTATATTATCCGCTACGTGTAATAACGATAGGTCCACTCCCACAGTTAAACCCCTGAGAAATGCCCTTACTTTCTTTTCCTTGGCTCAGGAGACTCACTTCCGTTTTCATGAAAAAAAGCCGCCCGTCTCAAAGGGGCAGATCCAGGCACAACAGACGACTCTGGGGTCTGCAAATTTTAACAGGGACGAATCACGGTACCGGTACGGTACTCGAGTACCCCTATGGCAATCACCGAGAGCAAATCTCCTAGTCTACTCTAGTACAAGTCCCCGCGCGCGTGTACCCGTAGGGCACGAACACAGGGGGTAAAAATTGAATGCTCGGGTTCTTCATGCTAAGAACCTACCGGTATGCTTGAGTATCATGCTACCCTAGTACCGGTGCGGTGCTGGTCTGGGTACGGTAACTCGTATACTGATTACCGGTACCCTACTGCACTCGAGCAGATGTGCCCCTGGTGAGATTGCATTCCATTACCAGATTTATCGCTGGCCATGCAACTCAGTTTACCGGCTCCGCACGGAACTGTGCCTACGGGGCGGGGTGCACAAAAATTATCTGAGAAACGGGCCGGCTAGACACCATAGGTACTAGTACCGTGCTACCACAGAATAGCGAGGTGAAAGGTGTCTCGCCTACGCTGTACGAGTACTCGAGTACGGTAACCTACTGTACTTGTACTAGTACTTCAAGTTGTAAAGGTGCTTGTGGGTACCAAATGAACAAACCACTAACGCGAGGTGCCCAGGGAGGAAGGACCCTTTATCCTAGTCTATTCGGGTGCGTCCCAAGCTTTCTGCTCAACACCATCTTGTGCTGCGGACACCCACTCCCCAACACCAGAATCTGGTGACTTTTACCAAAAATACCGGTACTGGAGTGCGTACCGGTATTTTGGGAATTGGAGGCGAGAATGCCGTTCAATGCTTTACAGCGGACGGGTGATCATGTGATTCGGAACCAATTTCTTGCGCCGTTCGCGTGCGTTTGGCGCTTCCGCGGCTCTGAATATTATCTATCTCTCTGGATGCATCGGCCAGAGATGGGAGCAGCAGTGCTAATGCGTGCAGCGATTGTGGAAGGCTGGTCGGATACTGTAAAAATTCGTATGTTCCACCATCTCTGTCAGGCATCTAACCTCCGCATTCAGAGACAAAACACCAGGAAGTGTTTACCTGACGCGGATTTGGGATATGCTTTCCTCGGTCAGTCACCAGCAAAATAGCTGCAGCTCCAACCTGACGGCATGCGCGAGCTTTCCTGGATTATTTTTGTGGGATCGTGTGATTCGGGTAAGGGCGGAATGGCCGGGAAAAAAACGGGAGCTGTGGCATCAAAACACTGGCAGTACTTATGATGGGATGATTCTCGCGCAGTAATGACTGCTTAGATGATACCCGGAGCGGTGTTTTGACATACTTTCTCGGAGTCTGCAGGATGGTAGTTCCATGCGAGAATTACTGTCGGATTCAAGGCTGCTGATTAATAAGGAGAGGCGTCTCGTTATTTTGTCCTAGGATTCGGTATACTCGAGTACAGTAATAACACCCGGTCGTGTTACTCGAGTATGGTATTGTACGACATGCTGCTCCTCGCACCTGGTGATATAAGTACTGGTACAAAAAGTTCATCCCATTTCCTTAGTCTCTTGCATTGGGTTTTTGGTTCTTCCAACAATTGGAGTAATGTGCCTTTATTTGGTCTCCATTGAGCCTTTTCGGCAGAGACCTTACATTACCGTATTGTGCCGGTAGGGCAGGTCAGATGGTGAATGATTCACGGCCCTTCTGCTGCACAGAGACAATACCGGTAGGCGCGGTACCCTACAGTGCTCGAGTACGGCACTTGAATTAGTACTTACTTGTCGAGAATAGATTTCGTGAGGTATAACCGTACGAGTATTATACTATGCTCGTTGAATTCAAGAGTATCCGAAAATCCAGCCCACCTTAAGATTTTGGAAACTGCTCACAATACCACCAGTTTCACCGGAACTTTGAGTAACTTGCGGTAACTTTAAATCACTTCTGCAGTTTAATGATATTTACGGGCAGCGAAGGGTACCGGTAGGTAAGTATTCGGCCACCTGAAACATTATTAATACCCCCTGGGGCCAAGCGTCCGAATACTTTATATCATAGATGGCCAAGTACGCTGTTGGCGCATCGAGAGCTTCGAACCTCCCCGGCGGTATGGGTAGTGGTTTCCAGTAGTACCCGCGCTGGGGTATTATTGTTGTTGTAAAGTTCCCGGTAAGTCACGGGGGGAACTCGGCGCAAGAAGAGAGCCACACAAGACACTGTTTAGGGACAGGACTCGTACAGCATCCTTATGTTACTCGAACTCGCTGTGGGCCCTCGTGGTGGAGGAGTACCGTACGGTGCCGTAGCATTATGGGGGGCAATTACCCACCCAAGTTGAATCAAATATACTGCTATCCTGGTATTGCCGGACTGGCACATAACCAGGGAAAACCCAACTCTCTGGAGCTGTATCTTGGGACTCGCCGGAGTTGCCAGCAATCCGAATGGGGGAAAGCTACCAGTGTTGTAACCCACCCTACCGCTACAGTTATAATAATGGTTGGCGGGGCTTTATTAACAGTTGACTTGCCATGTTATCATGAAGGGCTGTACAGTATGGGCTTTGGCTTGAATCGCGTTTTGGTGGCTTATTGGAGACATCTATACCTTGTGATGAATTTGGCAATGGATATCTTTTGAGGTTTGAACTATTGAGGATGTCCAATCTACGCATCTGCGATAACTGAGATGATTTGATTGGGCTCCATTTCTATTAAAAATAGCAAAAATACTTTCGGATTCATTGTACTGAGGCGTCTGCGGGGAGGTAGGAGTGATTGATTGTTCATGATCGTCATGTTGCACGATGGTATCATAATTAACTCCTCGGTGCACCATAACCATGAGAAGGCCCTGCTGAGAAAATGTAGTCTAACATGCGAGCATTTCCAAATTTCCCAGCACGTCTCAGCGCCGGATTCGGCTCAAAGCTAGACTTTTACTTTGTCGGAATTTCCACTCCCAGGTCACACCGCTCCCGGGAGCTCTGAGTACGCCCAAAAAATTATGCGGATGTTGAAAGAACTGAAGGAGCCCGCGAGGAGCTATTCCAATTCGGGAACTCGGGTATTGTGCCGATGGCTTGTGAGGCTTGAGCAGAACGCGGCTCTGAAGTCATGAGGTGCGCTAAACTTGATAACAGTGAGTGGGAAATTAACAAAAGCCCCGGACACCTCTCGGGAGGGAATTTTTTTTTTTTTTTTTTTTTTTTTTTTTTTGAAGGATTTAATGTAGAATAACCAATGAAGCTGAGAAGTGCCAATGTAGTCTCAAAAAGTTAAAATCTGGCAATGAGTACGAGTAGTCGCCAGGTCGTGGCCGTGTGGCGGGATTTGGAGCTGCTCCCTTGTTATGATACAAAATCTCAGCGGGGGCACGCGCACGGTTGGGCATCAGTACCAGTTGGGATACCAGTAGTTCACCTCGAGAACCGGAGAAAACTTTGCTGACAAAGCCCAACCCTTGCACACAGCTTACATAATTGAGCCTTTTGACTGACGCTCGAGTAAACTTCGGGTCATCCCCGCTGCCCGCTTCCTATTGACTGCCTAAGTACTTGCACCACATCTTATTCGCTGATTCGGCAACAACGGAAGTCAGTACCTGCTAGTGAGACGACGCGCGTTCTTTTGCAAAATTTATTTGCAATGTCGAACCATAAAACCCTCTTGTTGCCCCGAATGTTCGAGGAACTTTTGTTCGTGAAAATTTTGGCACTCTGGATGCTTGATCGGTTACCTCGATGTGCCAGAACAATCCGGTATCCTGCCGGGCTACCAGGACTTTTCGTTCCTTTTCATCCCGTCCTGATGGGGAACCGGATGGACGTGCCACTATGGACGAGATCACTGTACCGGTACCTCTCCAATTCATATATCGGTGGCTACCGTGCGGTAAGCGTTCGTGGCTCGAGAGAGAGAGGAGTGTCGGGAATGGCCTAAGGGCCCCCGACGGGACGTTACCCCCCCCAATGGTATTGGCACGGGATCCCGCAGTTCGTTGGAATAAGTACTCGAGTATTATACATGGACACACCGAGAGTCCAGCGGGGACTCGTGGTAGCTGGGTTTTCC